TTCAAGCATTCAATGAACCAGGAACGGTAGTAAGCCAGAAACGCAAGCAGAAACCCTTTCTTTGCATTTGAGTAAGTTCTGTCATTTTCTCATTTGAGGCGAAAATGATAGACCTTTCTATCAAAAACCGAAAACGGTAAAACTAAATAGTACAGTGTAAAAAAGACTATAACTACTTCGTCTAGCAAAACTTCCCTGGAAACCGTTGCTGGGCTATCCCGAGACGTTGAGTCTTGAAAAACCGCAAGGCGCGTTTAACCAATGAGAGCATCTCTTGAACCTGGCAACAAATTAAGTTTGATACCTTTAGAATAGTCAGAACTGCAGGCCTCGAGAGGACTAGACTGGCTCTTTCGTTCGCTTGCGATGCCTAAGAAACCTTCAGTCGCATTTTATCTAACATTTTCTGGTATGGTACTCCATTATAGTGCGGTGAAGTGGGAAAGCAAGACACGGCAGCTCTTGTTTCAGTAACATTGTCTCGTGTGTTGGTATCTTTTTTTCCGATGATGGTAGACGAGTGCGAGCTACGATGACATCCCGGAATCACGTGACTGGTCAAAGCGATCCCGCGCTGTCGCGTTTTTGTCGACGCCACGGTCGTTACGCCGGAGAACGCGGTCGGTGCATCGCGAGCCCGAGAGTCGCAGGCCCCGAAGGCAGCCCGAGTGGGCGAATGCCTTGAAAGCATGACTTTGGAAGCTAGGACACCGAGGAGTCCGCACTCTAATCCGGTTCGAAGGGCGACGCTGCGGCGCATGCGGGGAGGGGAGATGGGGCGGGGGCTTCTCGGGAGCAAATCTGCGGCCGTCGCGGAGGGGGAGGGAAGTGATCTGCGGTCGGTTGGCCGTAGCAGCCATTTCTTTCTTCCCGCGCCGGATCAATAGGCCGGGAACGAAGAAGACTGTTCGCGGGAGTCATGGCGACGGGAAGACAACACAGGAAGGACCCGGGCCCCGCGGCCTTCGCGAAGGTTCGGAAAAACGGACCCCCCCCCCCCCCCCCCCCCCCCCTCCCTCCCTCCCTCCCCTTCCGGCGGTCACGTCAGGACGGCCAAGGTACGGTCCCCCCAGTAGACACGCCGGGAAAGGCTGCCGCCGCCGTTGCAGTGGGGCGCATCCCGAACCGGGAGAAAACGAGCGGAGCTTGGACAGTCACGGGGGAGATACGGAAGGTCGCCTGTTTCGTCGGTCTTTCAACAGAGAGTTTTAGTAGATCGTTCTGATGACTCCGATAACGATACCCGATACTCCGCACCTGCCTTTGCGCATGCGTCGTGTCGTTATCGGGGATATTGCAACGATCTACTGAAACTCCCCGATGGGGCGCTGAAGGGGTTAACGTTTGGATTAGAGTGCCTGGAACGCGTTTCCGACCGCGTTCCAAAAGAGTGGTCCCTCGATTTCCGCCTGATGACGCCATACGAGTGTCATGCGGTCGCCGGTCGCGATCCTGGCGGTGTCCCCGGTGCTGGATGTGGCAGACGAATGTTCCCCTGCAGGTCGCTCTTCAGTGTGGCAGTCCAAGGAAGCTACGGCAGCCGGAAGTTAGGACGCCGCGACGACAGCGACACTCGCCTTCGCTCGTGCTTCTCGCCACCATTTCTATGACCAACCGCCAGGATCGCGACATCCAACTGCATGACATTGCGGCTTCTATGACGTCATTTGTTGCCACTTCGGGACCGCTCTTGATATATGGGCGGGATAGGACGCGCCAGTCGGAGACGCGCTGCAGGCACCATAGTTTGGATTCGGGTGCGTACCCGCCTCGAAGAGATGGATCGATTCCCTCGGAGTCGGAAGCCCCTCATCTAGGTCTCATCTCGATTCTTTTAGTTGACTGGGCTGGTGCGATTGAGGGTTAGCGTGTTGTGTACGATGCGACTGCAACTTTCCCGCCTTGTAACAACAACAAAAAAAAGTTATAGATTTACGAGGTTGTACCCTTTTCTTCTCTTCCGCTCAGTTTATTTTTTCAGCTCGAACACTAAGCTTAAGAGACTATTCTGATCGCGCTCTTTGTGATTGATTCTTTGACGGTCTCTTCGGCAGAGGCCGCAGTCTGACTGCGGAGCAATGATTACTGCGTTTCCGAGGCTGTTGAAGTTCTCATCTCCTTACTAACCGGTCCTAAATTTGAACAGAATCATTAAAGAGGGGTGCAACGATTTCCGGTCTTCGCTCAAGTGTTTGTGGAAGTTGCCCTCTGACACTTGTAAAGGTTCCCGTGTGCTCTCTCGGAGGACGCTTCATCTCCCTCTCTCTGATGACATTAGCGGGCGTTATTCTGCAGCCTGGAGCCGAGGGAGGTCAGGTAATCTTCTCGCCGTAGTTCCTTCGGCTGCCACTCGCGGCTGCAGGTAGGGGAAAAGCTCGACTTTGGGTTTGCAATTATGCAGCGGAATCGCCGCATTTTTTAACGAAGGAGTTGTTTTTCTCTGTCCTCCGGGACACGATAAGCAACTTAAAAGTGACGAGATGCAAATTCTTTTCATCTTAACGTTGTTGCGCCCCCCCCCCCCCCCCCCCTCCCTTTAAAAGCGATCGCTTAAAAATACACTATAAAAAAAAATTATGCGATCTGCGCAGGTGAGTTGTACGGCCAGGGGGACATGATACGGAGGACCAAATGTCGCGATATCTAATAATTAACTAAAATGTGTTGATTATGCTTGAATTATTGGAAATAAACACTGTTTTAATAAAAAGGAAAAAAAAAAAAAAAAACTTGTCGTCTGAAACCACCACGATTTGGAGTACCTGATAGGCACGGGAGTGCGCTAAGGTTTCCACTCGTCTCGTGCAACAGGCGCAATGCTGGCGGTCTGAAAACGCGGTTGATAAGCTTTTCATACTTGTTAATGAGCGCGTTGGTTATGATGTAACTTCAGAAAGAGTCTGTCTAAAGTTTCATCACCTTTTCATCCGCGTTTTCGGACTGCCAGCGTTGTGCTTGTTCCACGAGTGGAGACTTCATTTGCGGACCTCCGCGCTTACCACGTGCTTCGAATCTTCATACGAGTGACTGATTCTCAGTGGTTTCAAGTGACGCTAATCAAGTTTTTGATTGGAACCATGTGTTTCCTTTTACTAATTAAGGTCTCGGAGACGGTAAGGTGCCGTGACACGCGTGCCGGTCAGGTGACCAACCGTTCTTTCGAGTCTTCCGGATGGAGCTCGACGAGGTCCTTCTCCGTTCGCCGATGTCTTCTCGTTGGAAGAAGCTTAAAGGAAAGCGACGCTCCAAAAGGGACACGTTGATGATGAACTGCGGAATCGATTCTGGGCGAGGAAGACAGCGCCCGATTGATCTAGATTTGGGCGGGAGAGGGGGCGGCTGCCCAACTTTCCATGTGCGAGCGCGAGGTGACAGTTGAGAGTTTTCTCCCCTTTATCCCCGCATGCGCGCGCGCCCGCTTCCTCGTCGATAACTGATGATCCTCTTCGGAGGGTCGATGGTCCGTTCTTGGTGAAGCAAAACCGCCGCCGTCGCCCGCTCCGGAGCGTTTGGTGGAAGCCCTATGTTTGACGCGCCCTCTCGGGTTATTGACTGCCAGTTTTACGTTCTCGGAAAATTAGGTGAAAAGAAATAAAATAATAAGCTATTGCTTTTTTTTTTTTTTTTTTTTTTGGCTAGGCCTGGAAATTTTGTTTCGGCCTTGAGTTGCGTCCGTACTCGGACGCGGTAGTTCGTGACACGTAATTTTTATGGCCCGTCCGAACGCGGAGATAGAGTTCGCCGTGCAGCTTCGGTTTCTCCCGCCCGGTGTCTTGGCCAACACGGGTCGGCACCCTGATTGTGCCCGTGCTCCGGTGCGTGGCGCAGGGATGTTCCGCGGCCCAGAGCTCTGCCGCGGTCTAACGAACGCGGCTGTTCGTATCGCCAGCAGCACTCTATTCAACTTGCTCCCTCGACGTAACAAACAAAAAGAGAGCACCATTGCCCCACGTGGCCGTATTAGTAATGTCTTCGAGCATCGGCGTCACAGATTCCCTTTTCTCGCGTTTTCGCGCGAAGCATCCGCGGCTCGCCGTGGGAACCGGGCTGGCTTCGTCGAAACGAGCGCAACAACAAGCGGGAGTGACGCGTGCATGCAGTATTCGGAAGAGCCCTGCCGCCGCGACGATCGTCGGGCGAACGGGGCGCTGTGTTTATCCGTTGCCAGAGCGACGGGATGTGAAGGCGGAGCGGACGAGGGGGAGGGAAGAGCAGCTCGGAGGGGATGATACCTGCGCCGAGGTTCGCCCCTCTCCGCGCGTGCCGCCGGGTGCGTCCGACGAAAACGGTTTCGATCCGGCGGCGGTCTCTGCTATCGAAGCATCTGCGGTCAAAGACTCAGTTTGCCTGCCTGGTCGGACGCTGGCTCACTCTCGCCGTAGACGGGGGTTGCGCTCGCGTCCTTTTGTCCGCCGCGCCGGTGGTTTACCCTACGCGAGCCTTGCTTCCCTCTACCGTGTTAGTATTACGCCGTAGGAGTGCGAGATCGAGGCACGCAATACGCGGCAGTAACCACCGGAATGGCTGGATGACATCACGTGCAAGCCATATCTGGCGACACACGCTGACACAGTTGACGGCTGTCCCTCGGAATTGATGCCTGTTGCTCCTGTTCGGGTTTCTCGCGGAAGGGGCGGTAGTTCGCCTGCTTTTGGGTTCACAAACAAAGTATCCCCACCCAGTTTTAGATTTACCAAAGCGGTCCAGTTTTCTGTACAGTTGCAATACAAATGGTCGGGTTGATTGATTGGTTTGGTTAAAAGAAAATAAGAAACTGATAGCTGAGACTGCACAGCAGCAAAACTTGCCCACTGCACATTATCTCTTTTGTTGGATAGACAGACTTGTTTGTTTTCTCGGGGAGGCAGTGTTGAGACAACTGCCATTGAGCGCCTACGGTTTACGGAACATTAATCGGCAGCGTTGTGAGACGAGAGTTGATGTGTGCTATTCTCCAAAAAACTGCTGAGTAAGAGGAGACATTTTACTTGCACTTGCAGGCCTATTGCAAGATCCCGGTCGACCTGAAACTACCAAGTGCCTTGCTGCAACATCGAGGACCAAGGATGCTCGGAGATTGCTGAGTGTCTCCGATGAGATATGAATGGAGGCCCGGAGAAATCGCCTCCCGCATGGGATCCCGAAGAAAGCAATGTGGTAGATTCAAAGAGAGGTACCCTATCTTAGCTGGCTCAAATTTTGGACGCTTCTGATTCCATTTTTGCATTGCCTTTGGTTGGCTGTAAAGGTTCTTATGCCCGAGAAAATGGTGATGAGACCTTAAAGGGCAACTCCGCTTCTTTTTCGGTAGTGCAAAACAATACAGTTCTCTTTGTTATCATCCACAAAGCCCACACGGCAAATATTACGACGGAATTCCGCCTAGAAATTAATTAAAATCGCTGTCAAAGTTTGACAAGCGTGAATCCGCTGGTCTTGGATGAGATGTGCGGACGGACAACATTGCCCGGCTGCATTTCCGCTTCCTCCAAATTCCTTCTCCCAGCATGTCCGTGACGTCAACAAGCATGTACAGTTTTTTTTGTTGTTTTTTTTCCCGGGCAGAGCACGGGTGTCGCCATGCATGGGTGTCGCGAGAGACATGAGCGACACGCTCGGCCGGCTCGGCGCTCGACTATTGATACCCTACTGAAAGGCCCACAACCTCGTGGAGCGCGGCTTGTGTGTTCAGTGCGTATTGACGTGCGATGGCACATGCTTTGCAGACGACGCGACGATGACTGCGAAGCGCATGTCCGCGCGATAGATTACGTGACCCCTTGTATATCACATGGGTGTACATGCTTAGTGATGCCGAAGATACTAGGTTGTCCGGATTATCCACCGTTTCGGTTTCGGTTTGCGATAATGGCTAGAGTAAAATTGCACGAAAAATATTTTATTTTTTGCAAAACAAAAGATTGGGGATTGTTTTTGATTTCCTCTCAAAGCAAAATTGGCCACTATCTCGAAATTTTCAAAATTGAGCGAAGTTGCCCTTTAACAATCACGAACCTGTTGATTTTGTTTTGAAAGAGGTCGAGCAGGAATTTTCCTTATGTTGTCCATCTTTTAAAGATGTCTCGATACACAGCAGTTCATTTTATCCTCAAGTTCCAGCCAATGAGCGGGGTGATGGATTTGAATGACGCCTAAAAAATGCCGTGTCCCCCCGCAGACGAAGCTGCTGACGACGAGACTTTGCTGGCCAACCAGACGACCTGTTCGAGCGGATCCAACGATGCACCTTCGAAACCTGACAGCGAAAGCGGCACTGGCTCCACCGAGCTCTCTGCCAACGAAAGCCAGGAGGGCCTGCACGATGAGGATGGCCAGCGTGATGCTGGACTGACCAGGAGGAAGTCTGCCTTGGTCAGTCAGCTGTCATTACTATTTGCATTCAAACATGCACCATGGCTGGCCTTACCAGCATGCAGTAAAAAAAAAAAATACACACTCTAGAATCGTCTAGACAGAAAGGAATGACATTGTGCTTTGGAATTTTGCTCGGAGGTATTTAATATGTCTCATACATATGAACAGCGCTAAAATGAGCCAGAAACGACGCGTCTAACGAGCAGGAAATTTTCGTCAAAGGCATCTTTAGTGGTCAGTTTTACTCAATCTACATGCTCCACAACACCTAAAAAATCAAGTGAACCACTTTCATATTCCACTTAAATAAGAAGTTTGATTAAGGATTCATCACCGAATATGCAAAGGAAGGAGTGGATGGAAGAAGCTGAGATGGTAAGGATTTGTGTCGGAGGTAGCACTAATCCTTGTCTTTGTGGCGTTGACACGTCATCAGAGTAAGTAATGAACAGCGACTATTTCAGCTGCAAGAGAAGATAGCAATCGGTTAAGGCTAGTGCTTAAAAAGGCACTGACATCCCAAAGGTCGTTTTTTTTTTATTGTCTAAACCGATGCAAGTTGTATTCATAGACACAAAAAAAAAAAAAAAAAAATCATTGCGAAAAAAAGTTTTTTTACGGGTGCGCGCACCTTTTTATTTTTGCCGCACTTCTCTCCCGCTCCTCATCTCCTCGCTTCGGGTCGCGGTAGTTTGGAGCGGAGGTGCGAAAGAAAGTCGACTCGCAGGAGATTGCAAAATTTGACGTCACTGCACTTGCACGGATCATGCGGTAGCTTCAAATTCGGCATTTGGAAATTGTTTTTTACTTCATAAATACTGAATTCCCAAGTTTCGAAGTTTGAGGGTAATGTCCCGGCATCGTTTTCAATCGTTTCAGATAATAAAAAAAATATATGATTTTGATGTGTCTGTACCTTTTTAAAGTCTCCTGTAAGTTGGGGGGGGGGGGGGGGGGGGGGGCATCTGGGCTTTTATTACATGTACACAAAACTGACTTGATTAAAACATGTGTAACCTGGCATGGTGCTCAGGAAACAAAACCGACCGACAATGTGAATCTGATTATTTTTCTCGTGAAGAATCGATAGTGTTCCTGAAACATCAGTCATTTTGCTCCACACGAAATCGACATGGCTACTCACAACATAATTTTTTTCTCTAAGGGGTTGGGTACTTAACAGAACTTGAATGGGGAAAATCCTACATTTCTGGTTACAGGATTGAGTACTTATGATTGTGTTTTCTCTATCACCAGAGCTCCCTCGAGATGCCCCTGACTGTTAGCACTGGTTAAAGAGGCACTGACAGGTCAAAATCATATTTTTCTTTATTATCCAAAACAGTTGAAAATGATGCCTGGACATTACCGTCAAAATTCAAAGCTTAGGAAATCAGATTTGTGAAGTAAAAAAAAAAAAAACAATTTCCAATAATTTGAAGTTCCTGCACGATCTGTGCCAGTGCCGTGACGTCAAAGATTGAGTCGTCCTGTAACTCGAGTTTCTCTCCCGCCTCCGTGATCAACTGCGCTTCTCCGTGCGTGCCACATATCGCTGTGAGCAGACGACGCTTCACTTTCGAGTTTGAAGTTCTTTTAGGGGTCTTTTAGCGATCTCGAATTCTTTCGAACGGTGTGAGGTCTAAGAGGACGCGCAGTGGACTTTTGTGAGAAACGTGAGGGGCTACGTCGCGCCGGTGCTGGCGTGAAACGCTGCCCCAGCGGAGTCGTAACCAAAATTATGGTGCTCGGGCAGCGAACCCAGTTGTTTGGACTGTCGTCGGGCGCCGAAAAGAGAACTTTGTCCAATTCCCTGACTCCCGATCATCCTCTGTGCTATATGTGCCAAGCGCCGCCATGTTTTTCGAAGGAGGATAAAAGGGCAAGAGGCGACATCATTTCCGGACTTTGATTTTCAATATTTCAAAACAAGGGGCATAATGCATTCGCAATTGCATTAAAATATGTGCTTTACGAATGCAGTTATTAAATATTATAAAAATATCGCTTACAGAGCTTTTAAATTTCGTAATCAATTACGTCACAGATAAAAAGAAGTGAGGAGATGAGAAGAGGAAGAGAAACGCACCAAAAATAGAAGGGTGCGTGCATTGGAAATTTTATTTTGCATTGTGGTATTTTTTGGCGTGTCTAGACAACTGGCATCAGTCTAGACAAAAAAAAAATGACCTCTGGGGTGTCAGTGTTCATGATTGACGGGAGGCCGTGGGCACCATCCAACAGCTTTGCTTTTCTGCCTCTCAGGGTCGAATTAGGGTGAGGGGGGCAGGGGCAGGGGGCAGCTGCCCCCTAAGCGTCCCAACGTCAGCTTTTTTTTTTTTTTAATTAAAAAGTCACCATTTACTAACTATTTTAGGAAAAATGTTTAGTTTTTGGTGAAATAGCAAATTTTAGATCTACCAAATAGACCTGGGCGATGTTTCACCTGTGATGTCGTCTTTCTGCAAACCCCCCGCCCCCCCCCCCCCCCTTCCCAAGCCTGACCCATAAATCTGCCCCTGCCGCCTCTTGACAGAAAAGTGGTATGAATGTTTAATTGCAATTTTGATAAGGGAGCAGGGCATGAATGGAAATATTTTATAGATTTTCTAAAGAATTGTTGGAGCACATAAATCAAGTTAGCGGCTTAAAAGGCCCCTGCAAAGGAAAAAAAAAATTTTTTAACGATCTGGTTGGGACACGCGTGCAAAATAATGTTTAGAGGAATATTGACGACAACGATCACCTCCTTTCCACTTGTTTTCTCTCGGAATTTCGGGTGCGTGGAGGAGAGGTGGATTGGCTTTGCCTTCACATTGAGGTGGAAGGAGCGAAAAACCGAGATGGTCATTCCGTAATGACCCGTGACATCATGGACTTTGCACGCAGAATTTCAAATAAATCTCTCACCGTCAATATTTCTCTATAATTTTTTTTTTCACTTGAAATTTATTTTTTGACATGCGTGTTTCAGTCAGATTGTTATAAAAACACATTTATTTTCTGTTTAGGGGCCCTTTAACGAGTGAAAGTCCAAAGCCCCTTTGGTGTGCTTTTAAGTGAGGGTCAAAAGGAAGGTGAATTTTTTGGAGACATGAGATTTATAGGTTTGTGCAGTTATAAAAACCTGTTTCTTTGTTACCATTTTGTAGGGATGTGCGAATAGTAGCTCGAATTGATTGGCACTGCATCATTCATAGCATTCACAGAGCTAGGGAAACCCATGACATACTGGATCCTTCTGTAGTGCTGAAGTTAAGTATGGTTATGTGGTTGGAAGCGGTATTCGCACACCCCTACTATTTGTCCTGCTATAAATGCTCCAGAAATCTGCCAGTTCTTCTTTTATTATAATAGTTCTTTAAGTGTGAGCAGTACTTTGATCTACATCATAGACATTTTTTTACAAGTGAGAAGGTAGCGGAGATTTCGCATTTTCTATACATGTGCAGGTAGAGATGGGAGCATTGTTGTTGCCTTATGCATTCACATTGAGGTACCCTTACGAGGCCTTATTTTCGGGGAATTCTGTAATGCGTTTTAAGCAAGTGTGTGAATGACCTTGGACCTGCAGATCGAGGCGGTGCGCAACCAGCGAGGCGACTACGTCTGCCCTGTGTGTGACGAGGTGACGGACTCGTCGCACGCCTTCACGCTGCACATCCGGCAGCACAACCCGACGGACCACTCGCACACATGCCGGCTGTGTGGCAAGACGCTGAGCTCGGCCAGTTCGCTCGACCGGCACATGTTGGTGCACTCGGGCGAGCGGCCCTTCAAGTGCGCCGTCTGCCACATGGCCTTCACGACCAATGGCAACATGCACCGCCACATGCGCACCCATTCGGTGCCCGAGGAGGCGGCCGACACCCTGCGCTCCCCCAAGGTGCCACTCAAGCGCAAGCCCTCCGTGGAAGTGGACACGCCCCCCCTGTCACCCAAGGTCCCCTGCACCGCCGACGTGAGCGATGCCGTGCCTTGCGAGGAGATTTGCTGCCCCGTGTGTGGCAAGTCGTTTCTTTGTCGCTCGGGCTTGGCAAACCACATGAGCACACACCCCAACGACCCGATTCAATGTAAGAAGTGCTGTGAGGTGACGGCCAACTATGGCGCGTACGTTGACCACCGCTGCGACGGTGCCACAGACCCAAAGGCGGCTGCGGAGGACGGCGAGGCCGTCGCCAAGCCTGGGCCGCCGACCGGGTTCCACGACCTGACGTTTGTGGACTTCTCGACGGGCAAGTTCTCGCTGATCGCCAAGGCAGTGTGCGAGAGCAAGGTCCGTCGCCCGAGCAGCGCCTACCACGTGTTCGAGTGCGAGCTGTGCAAGCGGGCGTTCCCGTGCGGAAGCGCGTTGCGCCTGCACGCCCAGTCGCACGGTGGCCCCCGCGGCACCTTCTGCCCAAGCTGCAGTTGCGACTTCACCAGCCCCACGTTCCTCGAAATGCACCAGCTGAAGCACCGCAAGGCAGAGCAGTGCCACTGGGACGATGTACGCTGCAATAAGGAGGACTTTTTGGCGTTGTTTGAGCTGCAGACCAACGCGTCGCACGTTGCCATCCGCGAGGTGACTGCCCGGCCTCGTGCGAAGGAGGAGCACTTTGAGAACTACGCCTACTTCAACGGAACGAAGCAGCGAGAGCCGGAGAGGGAAGCTGGCCATGACTTTGCAGACATTCAGTCCATCATCTCGGTGACATCCAAGGCCCCGCTGGCGGCCACTTCTCCGGGCCAGACTGGAGCCTCGCCCCGGCCGGGGTCTCCCCTGGTGGCCGACTCTGCTGCAGCCAGCCCGGAAGAGACTCCTGTCAACACGGTGAAACCGGATGACTCGGTTGCAACGGACGAGAATTTGAGCACCGGCTCGCAGGAGGAAAGTCAGCCTCTCTTCACATGCAAGCTCTGTAAGATGTCGTTCCGCAGCCTCGGGGTGCTCAGGAAGCACGGGCAGCTGCACTCTCACGGGGTGACGCCTTACGCCTGCAATGTGTGCTCCTACACGAGCATGGACAAGAGCACATTGATCCGGCACTTGCGGACCCACAATGGAGAGCGGCCTTTCCAGTGCTCCATCTGCAAGTATGCCTTCACGACTAAGGCCAACTGTGAGCGGCACGTGCGCAAGCGCCACAAGAAAATGACCAAAGGTGAAATTCGGGGAGCCATGCAGTACAATCCCCACATGGCAGAGCCCTCGCGGGGTGCCTCCGAGGTACTGCCGCCCGAGGTGGGTAGTCTCGAGACAGTCTGCAAGTACTGCAACGTTGACTTCAAGTTCAACCGGGTTCTGCGCCACCACCTGCGCTCATTGCACAACAGCTGCAGCCGCAAACCCTTCTGCTGCAACATCTGCAAGCTGGGGTTCTCCACCAAGAACAACTGCATCCGGCATGCCCTCAAGCAGCACCCGGACATGAAAGACAAGCTTGCGCAGGTGGTGGCTGCCAAGCCCATGGCCCTGAGTGACTCGTCGGAAGAGCTCACGACAGGAAGCCTGGAGGAGAGCCCCAAAAAGGGAACGCTGAGCCCCGCCTCGACCCCTGTCCCACCTCCGCTGACTCCTCCACCGATCCAGCTTGAAGCCCCTCTGGACGAGACTGAGGTGATTGAAATACGAGCGGAGGAGTGCCTAGACCTGTCTTCACAGAGTGCACCCGAGAAGACGGCAGAGCCACTCAACCTCACCTTGAAGCCAGCAAAGGAGCCAAGTGCGGAGGCTTCTGACCTCAACAGCACTGATGAACGGGTCACAGCTGCAAAGAGCCTTATGTCCTTAGCTGAGTTGCCCCCACCCCAAGAGGTGCCCCTGGATCTTGCTGTTCATGCTCTAGACCTGACCTTGAGGACTTCGGACGAGTCCGCCCTCATTCTCTATGTTGAGCCTGCTAGTCACAGCGCTGTTGTTCCAACCCACTCCACCCCAAAGAAGACACCGCCTCTGGGGCGGCCCCCCGTGAATGGAGTCTCCTCTTCTCGGAACCTGGCCATCTTGGAGTCGTCGAGTGCCACGGACGACGTCTACAGGATGACTTACAGGATGGTCAATGACAAACTGTCACCAAAGAACCAGAGGTCCTTCAGCTGCATCTATTGTTCAGCTGGATTCACACTTAAGTCAAACATGGAGAGACATATCAAAAGAAAACACCCCGAGTTTGCACGACCGACGCGAAGTCGGAACTTCATCCCAACACTGAGTAACCCTGGAGTCCCCAAGCCTTTCACGTCGACACTGTCAGATGAGACGCGGACGGCGCTACGGGTTGTGCTCAATAGCAAAGCGAGCAAAGTGGCCGACAGTGCCGAGAGCCCGACTCCCGCCACAGGGCAGGAACAATCAGCTTCCAAGACAGACTTAACTAAAGACGTCGAGGACCTGTCGAACCGAGCCATTGAGAATGCGAGCGACGTGAGCGAGGGATCGGCAGACCTGGCAAGTGTGTTATCTGTCATCAACACGGCTAACTCGCAGGTGTTCCACAAGTACCTCCTAGATGAAAAGGCCCCCACAGAAGAGGCGCAGGAAGTTGCAACGAGGGAACGCAGCGAGAGCGACGGCGGGACGAGCACAACAGAGCAGCGGGAGAAGAAGCGCAGCTCGTACACGGACTCGCCCAACAGCGTTTCGTGCCAGTACTGTTCACGCAAGTTTCCCTGGACGAGCTCCCTCCGCCGCCACATCCTGACTCACACAGGCCAGAAGCCCTTCAAGTGTGAGCGCTGCCCCATCTGGTTCACAACCAAGTCCAACTGTGAGCGGCACTATGTGCGCAAGCACGGTCGCAACGGGGACTTGCTCACGCGCTGCGTGTCGGAGCGGCCCTTCAAGTGCAACGTCTGCCCCAGCAGTACTTTCTCGACACGCGGGAACTTGCGCAAGCACTACTATCTCAAGCACTGGTCGCGGAACGGCGCCGATAAGAGTGCCCGCATGCCAGCCGTCGACGACGACGACCGTGAGGGTTGCGAAGACGAGCACCACCAGGAGGACTCACTCGACGCCATGGACGATGCCGGCGAGGGGAGCTCTGACAACGGGAACCAAGACGTGCACGAGTGCCCCGACCGGCTGCACTGCCCGTGCTGCGAGGCCGTCTTCTCGACGGCGCTCGAGGTTGAGGAGCACATTGGGCAGGTTATCGAGACCCCTTACAGGTGTCACCTGTGCGACGCAGGCTTTGTCAAGAGGCAGGACTGCCTCGGCCACCTTGAGAGCCAGCACGGGACGGAGCACGACTTTCTGCGGGGGTCCCAGGACGGTGAGCATGAGGTGGTCATTGCACACATGAAGAACCGCTTTGGGGAGTCCGAGGACGACAGCGACGAACTGGGTGGCCGGCCGGGGGACTATGCGCTGCGGACCATTGCCTGCGTGTTCTGCCTGCGGCGGTATGGGTCGACCGACGGGCTCAAGCGGCACGTCCTGAGCTGCCACGAGGGCGAGGACGTGTACGCGTGCGAGGTGTGCGATCAGAAGTTCCCGTCAAAGAATGGTGTTGCCCGCCACAAGCGGAAGCACCACGGCCTACCCCCCGTGGAGGGGAGCTCGGACGAGGAAGAGGAACAGCGGCCGCCCCTCCACAAGCATTCCACGAAAAAGTTGCTCAGCAAGGACAAAAGGAAAGCGGTGGCGGAGGCCCCCGCTACGCAGGCAAAGGACCCTCAGGGTTGCCAAGACAACGATCTCATTCAGAACCTCTTGGGCATCAAGGACTCGAAGATAATCGACGAGATGCTCGACTCTGCCGACTCGGCGGCCAGGCTTCTCGGCGTCAAGCAGATTTGACTCTGGAACCGCGTGCGAGAGCTGCTTGTACATTGACGGGAGTCGGGCGTGTGTGGTTGTGTTGGTTTGCTTACTTTACAAAAGCAATAGGTTGCCCATAGCACCGAGCCATTCCCAGGAGCTAACGAGGGACTGTAAATCTGTATAGACACATTAGCTGATTGTTCATGCAAGTCATTTTACTGCTCAAAACTTAACTTGTGTATTTGTTATGAGTTCCTTGGGGTCAAAGTTGATACACACACTCTTTTGGTAGTCAGAAGAGACAGCAGTAGTCTGGGCAGTTCTGTTGTGTGATACATCATTGCACCGAGCTAGGAGGCCAAGGCCGGCCGTCTGGCTTGCTTTTCTCGACGTCCATTTTAACTCCAACCCAAGCCACTGTCCGATAACCTTTTTGTTTTGTTTCTTGCACAAATTGTAAATATTTGCACCCTCTGTGATTTTAGATGTCCAAATGTGTGTATGTGGAAAGACAGGTTACAATAGCAATATAGTCAAAGAATTTTGTGTGTCACTCAAAGAGCAAACACAATCAAGAGAATGCATTCCACGCTTAACCATAGCGAATCACTAGTACAATAAGTAACAAAGTGCTTGAGAAGAGCTGTAATTGCTATCCTTGCATTGCTTGCCCTCTAGTTTTAGTGTACATAGTTTGATATTTTGCAGCCATCAGGGACCAAGTTATTGGAGCATATCAGTGGACCTGTGGGACCATTTGTTGACAATACCTTTGCAAGCACCATCAAAGTTTACTCCCGTCAGGAACTCGACATATCAGCTACATTCCCAGTCAACGTATGCGCAGGACCCCTTGCCGGGCGTTCGCAGTTGCTGCCTGTGTGAGTGCAGGCCCCGAGCACGGCTGCACTCGTTGCCGGGCTGGTCTGCAACTTTTGCCTTGAACGAAAATAGTCTACGGTGCTTATTCCAAACATGCACTGCAGAGGAAATAGAGATAGGCCCACATTCCATACTTCTGGGCAAGCATTGTGTATTTTTTAAATGTCTGTAATTTATATGCATCTTCATATACACACTTGCACCAAACAGTGCTGTAGAGCTGCACCACACATTGCTGCCTTGTACGCTTGCCGCTATGCAAACTCACGCGCCGCTCTCTTAGTGCCTTTCACATGCTGCTGCTGTGTTCAGAGTAGTTGATGCATTCAGGAAAGTTCCTTTGCCTTTACTCACTGTTGCCGTGCGCTGTGCTTTGCATCCAGGTGCTCCCGCTTGTCCTGTTGTTGTTGACCCACATGACGCGCCGTCCGCTTCAAAGCTTCCAACAAACGACACCTTTCCACATGTGCATTATTTACAAACGCCACCGTCCAGGCATTGCCCACTGGTGCAGTGTTTTGGGCCATAGCAAATGCTGTGAGCATTCCAGTTTTTAGAAACTACTGAAAGACAATAATTCTCCACAACCTGTTGCTGAAGTGACGATGGCAAGACCAAACAGTTGAAATGGTGTTACACATTCCTGAATTTTCTTTTTTTTTTTACAATGAGACAAATGTGCAAAGCACACCCATGCTAAAAAGATTTGAATGGGTGATTGGGGCTAGGCTTTTTTTAAATTATTATTATTGCACATGACACATTTTACTGAATGCTTTCCAGTTTGTGGAACAAGCTGTAAGGATGTAATCCGGCATTGAAAATTTAGACAACTGGAACTGATTTGTTCCTTGCTGGTGTAACTTGGCATTGCAAATGCAGTAAGACTGGAAAAAATTTGTTACATGCCTGTTTGGAGGTTGTGCCTGTAGCCAGAAAGAGATCACATTCTGCGAGTGTCCGTTTCTGACGTGTTTCCCCCAAAGTGCACTGCCGCTGCTTGACTCTGCCTTGTACTTAAGGTTATCCAGCTTTTTTGCTATTGCTTCTGTCGAGAATGTGAAATGCTGTAAAATTGGACACCAAACAAACCTTGTACTTATTGAATTTGATGAAATCAAGTGGAACTTGCAGACCCCCACTGTTCATTGTGTGCTCACATGTGATTCATGTGTCACATTGCAAATCTCGTGCACCAACATTCACACATCGACCTAAACATTCTGCCTTGCTTGAGTGCCTATGAGTTTTAATATGCAGTCATCCAAGATTGCAAGACTAGTCGCACTTTTGCTGTTTTTTTTTACACTATTGCCTACAGCCACTGAGTATCTTACTTCACTGTATTTTTGTTGACAGCATATACATAATGCCTATGAATATATACATAATGTATAATTTTAGAGGTCGGCAGATGATGCTGACAAGTTTTTGATTTTATGGACAAAATGTGTCTGTTTGTTTGTTTGGCAATAAATGCGTTTATACAAAACATGCTCACAGCTTTCTCACTTTGCAAGTGTGTACAAGTATGACATGCCTCAAGGATGTCTCATTCACATCGAAACTACTTTAATTTTATATGCCTGTAGAAAATGTAGATTTGGCCTATTTATTCCACACTCTATCGAGGCTGTGGCGAGGCTCTATCCACAAAAATAAAAAAAAAAAACCTTTTCATAATTTTTCTTTGAATAAAAATGCAGTGTTATTTATAATAAATTGTTTAGAGATGGACTGTACATACGGTTTTATATTTTTGGATAACTCCGGAAAACATGGCCTGTAAATTGTTTGTCTATTTAGATCTATCAAAAAATACAAAAGTACTTGGACAGAGTACAGGGCAAGGAGGTTAGAAGTACAAGGGGGGGGGGGCACGTTGCAATATTGGTGAAGCCTAGTCATAAAAAGTTCAAACGATTTTGTGCCCAGCGTGACCGCAGATCTCTCTGGCGATTGGTGCGCGTGACATGTCACGTGTGAGATGGATGGTTGATTGTAGAAGAACTCCTTGCAGGCTTGCGCGCGCTCCGTCCGGTAGGTTTTATCAGGTCGAAGTCTAGACTGGTGTATTCTAGTACCCCACAGCAAGACGAAGTCTAGCTACGGTCACGTGATGTGGTCACGTTGGCATGGTAAGTGAGGAGAGTAAGGAGGAAAATGAGAAAGAGGCGAGGCGTCGAGGGAGCATGGCTTGTGGAGGCTACGCGGCCGACGTCATGCCCTCTCCTACCCTTCTATTCTCCATGGTACAGGGCCAGTGGTCCTGAGGAGACTTAACTCCAGTTTCAAATTTGAGTGCTGAGAACAGGGGGTTTACCATTTATCTTGTCAAAAGGTTTTTTCAGAAAAATGGATTGTCGGGTCACGACGAAAGCTCTGTTCGGTTGCCCAGTTTGGACCACTATTAGTGCTGTTAGAATTGTGAAAGCTGCCCAGACAACGCAGTTGGTCTTGAAGACGTCCTCAGCTAGCCGAGACGTCTTCATCAGGACGAAGACGTCGTCGGGACGTCCTGAACTAGTTGGGACATTCTGGCCCTTTCAAAGACGTCTTGAGGGCGTTTTCTGGTTCCCTTCATCGGGAAGACCTAAAAAGTTTTTTCTTCTTTTTTTGAATGATTTTTAATAGTACAAAAGGTAAGCAGTGAGAGAGTGCAGGCGAGCTGGTAATCAATCGTCATCTTGTAAACCCTGAGATGGGGAACGATAAAAAAACGGACGAACACAACAAAATCTCAAACGCTGCGTTTGAGATTTTGTTGTGTTCGTCCGTTTTTTTATCGTTCCCCATCTCAGGGTTTACAAGATGACAAAAGGTTTCCATGCCGGGAACTGAAAACGAAACTAGAATGAGTACGAAAGTATGGATTGATTATGATTATTTTTACTGAAAATTTCAAATTATAAAAAAAGAACTTCTCTGCAAACTAAGTAACCTTGAAATTATTTTATGGTATAAAAATATACATTTTAAAGCATTTAATAGATACTATACATCGGCCTTGTAAAAGCGGATGAATCGATGTCCAGCGCGGCACAGGCTGCGCGGGAAATAGGAAATGGCTGTTTTCCGACCACTGGACCGGCGTGCACTAGACTTGGAAATGACAGAAAACTGTGAAAAAGGTAAGCAGTTAATCTCTTTGTTTTCATATTTCGGCTGCATTATGTAAGGAAAGGTTTGAACTTTAGGTAAAAGAGCGAAATAAACAGTAACATGGGCCGGAAAGCGCGGCTGCAGCTCGTCGTTTTCGCCGTCCGCTAAATCAAAGTGTTGATGCAACTTTTTCCTTGCTCGCTGGTGTTAGAGAGATTGTTGATGACGTGCTTAGAGGTTCGAGCGATCTAAATGTTGATGGAGGCGGCGGAGGAGAGAGTGCCGCTGGTGAGGAACGCGGCGCTGGTTTATGTGAGTTGAATCAACGCTCCTCTTGGGTGGCGGTAACATCGCCGAAGAAAATGCATTTGAGAGCCTGCGCTTACTCGTAGAAAACGCGGACGCAGTTGAAGGCTCAGACTGGGAGGGCTGCTTGGAGAGTTTCAAAAGGAAACTCTAGGAATGGGTAATTCATCATTCTGTCTCGCATACCATTGTCACCGCTCTTTTTGGCGTTCTCCGCAGTCACTCGTGTTTTTCGGCACTTCCGAGCTCTGCAAGAACGCTGTTGGAAACGCCTCGGAAAGCTATGGATATCAGAAACATGGGCTCTGGCAAGTACTACCCCTTTGGTTTGGCTGCTGGTTTGGAGGAACTTCCGGCTTTCAGATCACCTCATCTTGAACGCATCGCCGGTCTTCCTCTTGCAAAAAGTTCAAGAAACCGGTTCTGGCCTATTCTTTGTGAAGTCGAGAGCATAAAGAACATCGCACCATTGTGTTTTGCGTGTTTGTGGGCAGAGCAAGCCTCTAGATGTAACTGATTTTCTGCCAGAATTTGTGCAAGAGTTGAATGAACTTCTTCAAGGGATCTGCATTGACGGTGCAAACATTCCTCTTCGTGTAGGAGCCACAACACCCGTGGCTCTTGGTGTACCAGGAACAGCTGATGATCCAGAAGGCGACCGTCAAATTCAGCTGCTGGGTCAAAGGACGAAGATGAAGTTGGATGAGCTTGAGTACCCGGATGTCAACTACAGTAAGTGATGTTATAGTGCTGTATGCTTTAATAGTGGTTATGCTGTGACAAAAAGGTAACTGTGGTGATTTCTGGTGTTGCCAAGGGCTGCTTTTAAAATATTGGGCTCTTTAAAACTATCAACTCAAATGTAAAATTATTATGGAGGATCCCCAAGTTGTAATTAAAATAAGAGCACCGACTTGACACGACAGAAAAAAAAATTTCATTTGACGTTTCGCCTCCCATGCGGGAGGCATCTTCAGTAGTTGCAAAGCAAATGCAAGGTTCAACCTCAAGCCAACGCTATTTATCACGAATGTCCGTATAAGCATCGTGGAGAGGGCCGCGGTTTTTGTTACACACGGATATGTCCCTGCGAACAAACCACGATTCTAGAGCTTTCGGGGCCTCCATCTGTCCTCTCTCGCCAAGGTCGTCGCGGCCGGAAAGTCAAAAGAATGCCCCATTTGTCCACGCATTGTCCACCAGTTCAGTCTTCAGTCGCGTCGCGTGGGAGTCGTACGTGACGTCACGCTTGTGTTCTTTGAGTCTGGTCTCTCTCCCCCGTCCGGTTTCATCAATGTAGGACGCTGGGCAGTCACTGCAGGGGATCTTGTAGATAGCCCCTCTCTGGGCGTTCGCCGGGGTTGGGTCCTTTGGTTTGGAAACGGAATTTCGAATAGTCCTGTGTGGCTTGAATACAGTTCGAATGAAGGGGCCTCAAAGCGCGACTAAGAGTTTCGGAGACTCCTTTGACATGGGGAATGCACACTACATTCTTATCTCTTTCCCTTCCGCACGGTTGCACATTTTGTTTCATTTGGTTTTTGACCTCGTCAACAAAACGCTTTGGGTAGTGACGTTTCATTAAAGCTCCCTGTAAATGAGTCATCTCATTTGCGCCATGGAGCTCGTTAAATGGCACGGTATTTGATCTCTGTACAATCGATCGCACTACTGATTTCTTGTGTTGCACTGGGTGATGGGACAAAAAAAAAATTATCGGTTTCACATGGTTTGCGGTACACACCCGTTTCAATCCTGTGTTTCGGTTCGCCTGTCCTCATTACAGTACATCTAGGAAGGGCAACTTGCCCTGCTGTTCTGCCTCGCAAGAATTAACTCCCGGTGAAAATCGTTAGCATGACTTTTATCTAAAATGACGAAAGTCTCATCCACATATCGGCGGTAAAATTTGACCATGAACAGAACTTTTTTCAGCACTTTCTCCTCAATATGCTCCATAACTAGATTGGCAACATTGACAGATACCGGGCTTCCCATCGGACACCCGTTCACCTGATGATACGTCTCCCCACGGAAGGCCAAAAAACATTGGTTTAAGCAAAAACGCAAAAGTAAAATCATATCATCAACGTGAAGTGACGTGGGTGCTCTCAGGCTTGATCATCAAGTAGACGCTCGCGTGCGACATCAATGGCAACATCGTTAGGAACATTAGTGAAAAGGGAAACTACATCAAAAGAAAACATGCCTTCATTCGGAAGGAGGGTTTGGGCGCGGACTAACTGAACGAATTCTTGCGAATTCTGTACACAAAAACCATTTTTGCCTGTCACCGGCGCCAGTAGCTCTACCAAATATTTTGACAGGTCGGGCGTGGGGCTACCGATAAAGGATACAATCGGGCTCAGATGACATTCTGGTTTGTGCACTTTAGGCAGGCCGTACATTTTAGATTTGCATCCGTCGAAGGAAAAAAGGTGGCGGTGCAGAGAATCATTCATCCTACCCACCCTTCTTTTGAAGTTCCCGGAGATGATCAACTAACGAACGTTCGGTTTTCCCAGTTGGGTCGCGGGCTAGGTTGGCACAACAAAGGCCACATTATGAAAACCATATGCAACACAAAATGTGAGTGGTCCATTTAATTAACTGAACACAGAGTTAAAACTTTCATGCAGTTTGTTCTAACAGGGGGGGCACCGAGTTTTTCTCTCTGTTCACGGATACTGAGCCGAAATTTCGAGCTCACAAAACGGCTGGCGAAATAGGCGGGACGCTGCAGAACCCCAAAACACCACTCATACAGCGTTATCGCTAACGGATGGCCGTATTTTGGGAAAAGAAATGTGCAATTGAACACGGTCGACGATGCATGTGACGTCACAATTCGTATTCCCTCTCCTCCTTGCTTTGGGCCGTCTAGCTGGTGAACCGAAGCGAGGAGGAGAGAAGTGAGGCCGCTTCCCCTCATTCTCAGCTGTTTCAGGAGGACCTTGACGTCAAGAGTCCTCGCTTTGATCGCGTCCTTCTTTTCCAAAAATACGCCCATCCGTTTGAGATATTGATATATAAGTGAGGTTTTGGAGTTTGCAGCATCTCGTTCAACGCTTCTGTGGCCTTATTTT